TGGTAATAATAATAATAATCAAACGAATGTTAAAATATCAGTTTGAAAATTTATTTTTCTTTTCTGTTCTTTTGTGTTTTTTGTTTTTATTCAAGTAAATATATTTGGACAATTTTAAGTAAAAATAATTCATACCATTGAATAATCAGTCATAGTAATCTAAACTAACTGTATATATTTAATTTACTATACAAACCATGAAGTTATCAATAAAAAAATATCTACCGTAAAAACGTTTTTTATTTATTTAAATGTAATGTAACTTCTCTACTAAAGAACAACTCATTCATGGATTACTATGATATCTTAGGTAAATTTGAAACTAATATTTGTCTTATATCTAGGTCAGTACTATTTATTTTAATATGCATTCGACATTGATATAGATTTATTATGGAATATATATATATATCAGTGAACTTGTATATAGAATCTATGGATATAAGATATCATCTATGTGCTTTATCTTCAAAGCCAGACATATATATATATCTAATATCGTATCAATATGAAAATAAGATTTTTATCTTCATTCAAAAGTAAATTTAACTAATTTAATTGAAAATACGATTTAAAATTTGAGCAGTAAAATATAAGTAAATTGGTATTATGATTTTTATATAGAATCACAACGTTTACTATATTAAATATAATTATGATTTTATTTTGTAATATCACTTGTAGGTTGAAAATAATAAAAAAATCTCAAGATTATTTATATTTCTCATGATTTTATCTAATTATAGATTAAGTTGAGTCTTCTGTAACTCGTGATGATTACGTTACATTGTATATAAATTTGCTCTATAGAAAAATTTTCATTCGGTCTAATAAAAATAAAAAAGATATAATATTCTGTCATATTGTTGTCATTAATAGAAAAAAATGCAAACGTGCCAGCTGATGCATTTACGTATATATATATATATATGACTAAACATTTATTATCTTTTCATTCAATCGACTAAGAATTATTTTGTAAAATATAATGGTTGATCTAATAGAATCGGACGTGATCTATGGTCCACTTGATGAAAGTGAAGAAGCGGTTGCTGCTGCCAATGAATTAGCAGAAAAAAATGATGATCCAGATATGCAAGTGAGAGAAATAAAAACGTTTCATAATTTCTTTTTCTATTAATCAATAAAAAAAATGAAATGTGTAGATGCCCGAACATGCTTATGTACAACTAGTAGATGATTGTTATAATTGTTTCAATGATGGTATAACAAAAATTGGTATAAAAATTATTCTTATTCATTAGATTTATTTCGAAATTCGTTTAATTTAGATTTTATTCTTGTATATGAAGATAAACGTGCAACAACTGTCGATCAATTGATGATTTCTTTACCACCAACAGAAACCACTGAAGAACAGGATAGAATAGCTATTGCATTAAAAAAACAAAAAGATAGACATCGATTATTTAAGAAAAGATTTCTTGGTAATTTATCTAAAATAGGTCTTCTAATGGAAACTGTAAGTTTTAATGAATATTTCATAAACAAAAAGAAATTACAGATTTATTTTTATTTTTCAAAAGGATGTTCGTGATAGTGAACAAAGTCTAGTTTATTTTATTAAAATTCATATACCATGGCCATTGATGCTTAAATATGCTGAAGATTTAAATTTTCGAGTACCAATTCGAGTAATAAAATTTCGAATTAAAATTTTATTTTTGTGGAATTTTTTTGAATTTAGGCAGTTAATAATTATGATAGTAAAATAACATTTGTTGATCGTTTACTTCGTTTTTTACATCTTTCACATAATCCATTTTTATCTGAAGCACCTAAACGTTATTATGATTTATTTACATCGGAATTTGAAGCATCTAAACAAGATAGTTTTATGGGTGATAATCATTTTCCAGTTCATTTTTCAAATACTCAACGAAGTTTTGCTGTCAATGAAATTTTACAAACAACATCATTTGGTCGAATAGAAAAAGGTGAAATTGGTATTGCACGTCTAGTACGTGAAAGAGTTTTTCAAGCAGCTTATCCATTACATGAAGGAGATTACAAATTTGATATAAACGAACGACAAACACCATTCAATGAAAATAATCCACGAAGAATTTTATATGATAATTGGGCACGTTACGCCGTTTTTTATAAATATCAACCATTAGATTTAATTCGAGAATATTTTGGAGAAAAAATCAGTCTTTATTTTGCTTGGCTTGGTAAGATTAATTTTCTATTTTTCTTTATTAAATATATTGAACATTAATTAGGACTTTATACAACTTGGCTTATACCAGCTTCATTTGTCGGTGTCTTGGTTTTTCTATTTGGTTTTATTTATCTAGCGAATAATCGACCAGCTCTAGATGTTTGTACGATCGGGAGAAATATTACAATGTGTCCACTTTGTGATGTGGTAATGTATATATATAAAAAAAAAACTTTATCCTATACAACATGTATGGATAGTATAATAATAGATAAAATTTTGAATTTAGTGTCCTTATTGGAAACTTTCGGATACATGTTCATCTGCAAGTCTTGGTGTATTTTTTGATCATCCTGGAACTGTTTTCTATGCAATATTTATGTCCTTTTGGGGTAAATAAAATATTATAAAAGAAAGAAAAGAGATTCTTAGAATTTATATTTGATTCTACAGCGGTTACATTTCTTAAACATTGGAAACAGAAAAATGCGGAAATAACTCATCGATGGGATTTAATGGAATTTGATGAAGAAGAAGTAAGTTTATTTTGATATTAGAACAAAAACAATAAAAAGCATTTTGGATTTATTAAGAATCGACCTCGACCAGAATTTGCAATACGTACATCAACAGTAGAAAAAAATCCTGTTACAGGAATTCTTGAACCTTATTTTCCACCTCGATCTCGTTTATATCGTATTATAGGTGGTATTATCACTCTTAGCGTTATGGTATATAAAAAATAATTTATATTTATTTTATTTATCTAATTCATTTAAGATATGTATTGTTATTATTTTTATCGTCGCTATAATTGTTTATCGGATAATGATAAGTATTCCTTTATTTCAAAATCAAAATTTACAGTAAATATAGACAAATAACTTTATAAATTCTCATTGAAAAATATATTAGACAATATGCACTTACAACAGCATCAATTACTGGAGCTATAATTAATTTAATCGTTATTCTGGTATTAGGTTATTTATATGAAATAATTGCTTATAAGTTAACACAATGGGGTAATATAGAATCAAATTTTATTTTAATAAAATAATATTACTTTTCACATTTTTTGTTTTATTTTTAGAAATGCATCGAACACAGACTGATTTTGATAATCATTTTACAATGAAAGTATTTATTTTTCAATTTACTAATATTTATTCATCAATTTTTTATATAGCTTTTATTAAAGGAAAGTAAGAATAAAATTTGTATTTTTTATTTCTTAAAATTTAAAATATCTTCTGTAGAGCTGTTGGTTATCCTGGACGTTATATAAAAATATTTGGTCTACGACAAGAAGAGGTAAAATTTGTTATGAAACACATAATTACTTTTAAGAGATTCATTTATTGGTATTACTTAGTGTGGTCAAGGAGGTTGTCTAGTGGAGTTAGCAGTACAATTAGCAATTATAATGATAGGTAGGAAGATATTTTATGAGATAATATAATCAATAGATTTTTAAGGTAAACAAATTGGTACAAATCTTCAAGAAATAATGTGGCCGTTAGTATTCTAATCAATTTAATATATTCATCTAAAACTAAAATTACTTTATAGAAAAATTCTTGCTTTAATTCAACGATGGCAATTATCAATACCAAAAACTAGAAGTACAACTCGTTGGGAAGATGATTTTAAACGTAGTGATTTTGGTGGTTTATTTGAAGAATATCTTGAAATAGGTAAAGTAATAATTAAAAAAACGTCATTCATTTCTAGATTATAATGTTTGATTTTTTGAAATTAAGTTTTACAATTTGGATTTATAACAATTTTTGTTGCTGCATTTCCTATAGCACCTTTATTTGCATTACTTAATAATTGGATTGAAATTCGACTTGATGCAAGAAAACTTATTTGTGAAACAAGGTTAGATTTTTTTTATTTTTCGAAATTTCTTCTTTTGGTTCTATGAATTAGACGTCCAATTGCTTTTCGTTCATCAACAATTGGTATATGGTTTCATATTCTACAAATTCTTGCTTATTTAGCTATTGTAGCTAATGTAATACAATTGATAAAAAAAGAAATCGTATTATTTTTTTTTTCGTAGGCTTTTCTAATTGCATTTACATCTGAATTTTTACCGAAAATTCTTTATCAATATACAGTCGATTGGGATTTAATTGGTTATACAAATTTTACATTAGCTAAAGCACCTGTAAATACAACAACAAAAGAATGCATGTATATAGATTTAATTATCTTTTAAATATATACATTTGATATTAATGTATAAACTAGGTATCGTGATTTTCGTAATCCAGATGGTACTTTAACTTTATTTTTTTGGAAATTACTTGCACTGAGATTATTTTTTGTTATCTTATTTGAAGTAAGATATTGAATTTTGTTTTATTTTTTATTATATTTTAAAATAGCATGTTGTTTTTATTTTATGTCGATTAACTGATGCTGCTATTAACGATATACCTGATGCACTTTCGATTAAAATTCGACGGGAAAAATATTTAGCTAAACGAGCTTTACAAAATTCGGGTGATTATAAGAATCGAGTATAGCTGTTTGAATTGATGAAATATTATAATGTTTTTTTTTTATATAAATTTTCTAGGTTCTCGAAGACGTTAACGTAGAACATACATCACGATCAAAATTAACTCGATTTTTTCGGACTAGTAAATCAAAAACACCTTCTGTTTCGGCCGATATACGATGACTATATTAAATTATTTATATAAATGACATTGACAATTCTTTCGTTTTTTTCTTAATGTTATGGATCTTTGTATTTCAACTATAAAAATATATCTAATTTGAAAATAATTACTCTATTCTGAAACTATCGATTGCGGTTTCCCTTTCTTTTTTTGTTATTTGTACTCCAAACCACTACCATTAATGTTTCATTAAATTCGTATTAGTAAAAAAAAGACTGGTGCCTTTAATTCTTGACTTAATACACTCACTTGGGTTTTTTCGGTTTTCTTTTTCCTCATATCGAATATAGCAATGGAGAAACGCGTATTAAAACTTGAATTTGATGTTGGCACAACAAGTCGTTCAGCAACCGGTGGTAAAAATGAAGGTGTTGGTAAAACAATGGAACTTGTTCAACGTGAACATGATCGTGATGTTAAAGAAAAAGAAGAATTACGTTTTTTAAATGATCGTTTTTCGCATTTTCTTGACAATATCGAACAATTAAAAAAACTTAATGAACAATTACAAGCACAATTAAAAGATGAATTTTCTAAATGGGGAATTTTACCACGAGATGAAAATGAATTACAAAAATTAATAGTTCAAATTAATGATCGTGCTATGAAACGTGCTAATGATGAAGTACGTTCACGTGCAGCTGAACAAGAATCAGCTATACTTAATCGTGCAGCTGCTTTATATGGAAATATACAAGATATGTATAAACGTAAACAAGAAAATTTACGTAATCTTATTGATAAATTACAAGAAGAAATAAATCGTATTAGTCAACATGAACGTGTAAGTAATGAAGAAGTAACAACAACTCGTGATGATTTAATAAAAGAATTAACAAAATTTCGTCAACGTTTACAAGATTGGCTTCGTATTGTTGTTGAAAAACAAACATTATTAGATGATATACAATCATTACGTGAACGTATTAATTTAATCAATGCATTGAATGAAGAAGAAATAAATGAATGGAAACGTCTTTTAGAACAATCAAATGTTGATTCACTTTCATTTTATAAAGAAGAATTAGCAAATGCTATAAGAGATATTAAACGAGATTATGGTAAACAGGCAAAGAAATTTCAAGATGAACTTGAATATCAAATTGAAGGACAATTACGTACGATTGAAAATCAACTGAAACAAACACCAGGTGTAGGTGATGGTTCAATGCAAGAATCTGAACGAAATCGTTTACAAATGGAAGAAACAAAATTACGTGGATTTATGGAAGTATGAATAAGAAAACTAATTTTTTTTTGTTGTTTTTTAAGAATTTGATTATTATAGGAATATGATAAAGAACAAGCTCGTTTGAATGAATTAACAAAAATCTTATCAGATAAACGTCGTGCATTACGTGATGAAGAAACAAAATTACATGAAATTGAAAGAAAACTTCGTGAAAAACAAATGCATGAACGAAATATTACTGACCGACTTAAACATGAATATGATGAATTACGTCAACGATTCGAACAGATGGCATATGAATTAAGATTTAGTATTGAAGATGAACTTAAAATATATTCTCGATTACTTGATGAACTTATGAAAAAATCAACAGTTAATTCAACATCAACTAGTGCAACTCAACAAAGTGGTGGATCAACTTTTACAGCAATATCATCAACAATACGATCAGGTGGTATTGAAGATCATGATAAATCTTCCAGTTTACAAAGAATGCATAATACTACTTCAAGTGCTGGTTCAGGAAATTCAATTTTTGATTTAGGTGGAACTAGCAGTGCATTTCGACCAAATGATCATGATACATACAATACAAGCTCAGAAACTCGATCTTCATCGTTTACACAACATCATTAATTTATTTCCTATAGACAATTGAACATTGAGAATTAATTTATTTAATTAAAATTCTTTTTTTCTTCTTCGTTTTATTCAATTAGATAGTTATTTACTTATTATGCATCTTTTAATTCTGCTATTATTAAATCTTATTTGAATAATCAAAAAATATTTTTTCATTTAGATTACAATTATATATATCCACAGAAAAAGTTGATTAGTAAGATAAATATCACTAACTATGTCTAGATAAGCTATTATCTATTTTATCTCTCGCTCTCCTTAGAAATTCATACTAGTTCAATTGATATAATTTATCAAGATCTAAGTAATTGTATTCAAATAATGAATGAATTGTTCAAGAAAAGCATTTCTTTACGTTTCATTGTTCTAATATATGTGTTTATGTATATATGAGGAAACAAGAAATCAATTCAGAAGGAATACATTTATAAAAGTTCAATAATAGAAATAAAGTTTTTCTATTTTAAAGTTTGACTTGGAATTGTACATTATTTGATGTACTAGTCGATGGATTGAATAGTGCTTGTCGAAAAAATGCTGGATCAATAGCCATTTTATTTGAATTCGAATGAAAAGATTCATTATTATTTGATGATGATGATGATGCACTAAAAATAAATATAAAATAAAGTGAATTAACTATTTATTATTTTATTTCACTTTTTATCTTTTCCTGTTGTAGATTTTGAAGATTTTGTTGAATAAGAAGTTGGTTGCTGAAGACAAACATACATTAATTTTCCATCTAATAATCGATTATGATATTTAGCAACTGCTTCTTCAGCTTGTTCGTGTTTTGCATAAATTATCTGAACACAACCATGACTTAATGTTTTTATATCTTCAATATCACCAACTTGACTAAATAATTCCTAAGAAATTGCAAAGATAAATATATATTCAATTAACCAAAAAAAAATAGATTTTTCATACAATAACATCGTCTTCTGTAACTGATGTTTGAAGATTAGTAATTAAAACTGTCGCTTCATCAGTATTTAATTTTGGTTTTGGCTAATAAAGAATGATAATGAACAAAGAAATAATAAAATACTAGATATTACTCGTGTGCTAACAGATGTATCTGTCGAAATATGTTTTAGAGAATTTTTTGATGATGATGATGAAACTTGTTGATCTCTATCGGTTATTGTATTTCGTGAAGAAATACGTTTTGTTGCAGGTTCATATTGATCATCTAAATATTTTCGTTGAGTATTTGTACGAAGTGGTGCTCGAGATGAAGATGATAAATGTGCTGTTTGAATAGAAGCATCATTTAAACGCCGAATAATTGGAGGAGGTGAATGTGCAAGTGGTGATGGTGTTCTTTGTCTTTTACGATATTGATCATTGACAAAACTAATCACAACTTTTTGATCAGACGAAGCTGGTGCATTTGAGATTGTCTTTAAATATAATATTAATTATTTGTAAAAGCAAACGTAAAAAATTACTTTTTTAAAAGAAATTGGTTCAACTAATTGAGAATTACGAATATTGCCCGGTGCCGAACGATTAACAGTTCCAGTAGTAAGCTTAATGATAAAATAAATTTTTTCTTTAAATTTACTAAATTATAAACTTACTCGACCATCTTTAGATCTAGTAATGAATAATGGTTTGGATTTGTCATTAGGTTGTTCTTCTTCTTCTTCTTCTTCATCATCATCTTCCATATCATTTCGGATTGTTAAAGAAGTATCACGTGTTTTTGATGATTGTCGACTTAATAATTGTCGAGCATCAAATATTGGTTTATTTCGATTTGTTAACAATTGTCGAGCATCAGTAATAACAGGAGTAGTGTTCGGTGCACTTAAACGACTATGAATACTATTATTACTGGATATTGGTTTAGTAAGTCTTTTTAATGCACTAATTCGATTGGTTTCTTTCATTCTAGTTTAATACTGACAAGAATAAAATCTAGATTAACAATTAAACTTTAGCAAATTTGGAAAAAAAAGAAACAAATAGAAATATCTCTTCGAGAATATATTTAGTTATTTAAATAAAAAAAAAAGAAAGAAAGAATGAATCCTATAACCATCATCACAATTTTCATCATTTATAAAATTCAAAATCTTGTTCATTTTTCTTAACAACATTTTTATATGCCTTTTCAAAATCTTTTGCCAATACAATATAACGATTTTCACGTACAGCTTGCATACCAGCCTATATGAAATAAGATAAATAAATAAAGTAGATAAAAAATAATCACGTACTTCTTGACAAATTGAATTAATATCAGCACCTGATATTCTATCAGGACGTGCAACATAATCTTCTAAATCAACCTCATCACTTAAATTCATTCTACCAGTTACAGTTGAAAAAACTAAACGTTTTTGTCGACGATCAGGTAATGGAAATTCAATTTTACGATCTAAACGACCAGGACGAAGTAGAGCTGGATCAAGTGTATCAGCACGATTTGTTGCCATTATAACCTTTTAAATATAAATTACAATAGAAAAAGAAAATCTTCTCTAGTAAAACAACTTACTTTAACATTAACACTCTGATCAAAACCATCCATTTGATTGAGTAATTCAAGTAAAATACGTTGTACTTCACGATCAGCTAAATAAAAAGCGATTATGAAATATGTTCGATTAATATTTTTTATTCTAACCTCCTGTTTGTGCATCGAAACGTTTTGTAGCAATTGCATCAATTTCATCAATAAATATAATAGCAGGTGAATTTTCTTTAGCAAGACGAAATACATCTCGAACCATTCGAGGGCCTTCACCAAGATATTTTTGAACAAATTCTGAACCGACAACTCGAATAAATGAAGCTAATACAAATTAATTATTAGTATACAAATGTGGAATAGAAAAAGAAAAATATATTTACCAGTTGTCTGCCGAGCAACAGCTTTGGCTAACATTGTTTTTCCACAACCTTTTTTAAATACAATTTAAAATACAGATATTATTCAAAATAAATTACTAACCAGGTGGACCATACATAAGTACACCACGAGGTGGATCAATACCAATTAATTTATATAATTCTTTAGAAGATAAATAAATATATTATTTGATTTTCAGTGAAACAAATTTACCGTAATGTGTCAATGGTAATTCAACAGCTTCACGAATTTCTTGTTTTTGTAAATCTAATCCACCAATATCTGCATAATCAACATCAGGTTTTTCATCTAAAATCGATTCATATGGATATTATATGGAAGACTAAATCATTTCTTCTTACCAGCTTGTAACATTGATATACTACTATCTGATTCTGGTGGAAGTATATCAACAAGTGCATTTGAATGTTTATGTAAAGCAACACTAGCACCAGTTTTTAAAAGTTCGCGATCAATTGTAGATAAAATTCGAACATAATAATTTGAACCTAAACAAAAAGAAAAAAGTCTCTACAATTTATTAATAAATAAATATTTATTTCTTACCTGTAGTTGATCCAACAATACCAGTATTTTGATCAACAGCTTCGAGAAATTGACCAATAACAAGTGGTACACTTTGAATACGTTTGATTTCTTCCTGTGCATGTAACATTTCTTTTTTTAAATTTTTTAATTCGGTTTTAACATATTCTTCTTGAACTTCTAAAAATTCCAATTGACGTTGAAGTTTCTACATAGATCAAAACAATAAAAATCAATAGTTTACATCTTCTGAAATTAAACCTTATATTTTGTATAGTAATCATCAGTATCAAGTGATTCATATTGTGATGAAAGGGCATAATTCTGTTGAACAACTCGACTAAGATCCTCCTTTAAAAAATCGAATTAAATCAAATTTTATAGATATATAACAATGTACAAACTTCTTTCTGAGCAACAACTGGCATATCTTCTATAACTGTAGCCATTTTTAAAATCTAAAATAATGTTTATAACAAGAAGAAGAAAAAAAAAACATCATTCGCAGTCCGTATTTTTGAAATAAATAAAAGAGAAAAAAAATAAATATCGGACTAGATAGAACATGAAATAATTGAAATAAAGTTAATTTGGAATTAAAGGTAAACGTAATTGTTGTTGTGGTATCGAAGAATAAAAAAGAAGATAAGCATTAACATTATGTTCAAGTTCACGTGTATCAGCAGAACGAATTGATTGATCATCACAGTAATACCATTGTTTACCGTCATTACAATAGGATGTATAATGACCACTATTCATTGAACCAAAATGATTTACAACAGATACAAGAGAATATTTTGATGGTGATGGAGTTTGTGACCAACGAGAAAAATCAATATTTGATGTTGGATATCGAATTAATGTTTCATTTTTTATATAATGTGCTTGTTGAAGACGAAAACTATAAATATAATCATTAGTTTCATTAGTAGTAATGATTTTAAGACTGAGAATAATTACCGTTTAAAATGTACAATAAATATTTTTGGTAATTCCCAAATATCTAAACGTCGTTTTTTCTCTGATAAACGTTTACAATGTGAACATTCATAGCGATCTTCGCCTCTTAAATGTTCGAATTCACGAAATAAATCTAAACAATCATCTAATGAACATTGTCGGAGAGGTGGAATTGGTACACTTATTATAACAAATGCTTCAAAACGAATTGAATTATATGTACATGAAAGACATATTGTTGTTGATTTAAATAAACCATAAAAAAGATCAATTATTATTGATTTATTATGTAAATGAAATGCATGTTTTGTTGCTTCCGCTAATTGTCGATCAGTTTTATAATTTTCTGGTTTAAGTTCTTCAATACGTGGACGAGTAGTCTACAAATATAATATATAGACAAAACGAAAACAAAACAACGATTTATTTTAAATACTTGATTAAGATCTTCATGTAATGTATCAAGTAAAAAAACAAGAAATTCATGTGCATCTTGTTGTTGTGTACCTAAATAAGCGCGTTGAAGTGAACCAACAGTATATTTAAACGGTTGTGGTATAAGACATGAATATTGTTGACAACATAACAGATAAAGTAATTTAAACCATTCTTTAACAACGACACCACCTGAACCAAATTTATTTTTTGTATTAATATCTTTATTAAAATCCCCTGATATAAAATAATTTGTTAGAAGATAATTAAAACTTAATGATTGAATTATTGAATTCATATAACATGAATTTCCAAGATTTTTTAAACCAGTACGACGATTTATCTGTAAACTATCTGTTATTGCTCGATAGTCATATGCAATTTGTCGATGTGTTTGTTCAGTTAATATTGGTTTAATATCACGATTAATGGTTGGTAATGTAGGGACAGCTGATTTTGTTGGTTCATTTTCAGGAAGATTTGGTATATATCGATTATTTTTTGTATCAAGAATTATTTTACTAAGAAAAAAGATATTAATAAAAGTTTTTTAACAAGGTTTGTTTAACATACCGACCAGTAACTGCATCAAATTTCTTTTGATATTGATTATTTGTATCATTGACAGGTACAGTTCGATTAAATGGACGATAGATAGAGAGTGTTTCACGACTTGGTACAGAAAATAGTACAGGATTTATTGGTGGAATATTTTCTTGATTATTATCGATAGGTTTGGGTAGTTTCGGCACCTCAGGAGTTGTATTTATAGGTGGAAGTACGGGTGATGGGCGTGGTGGAATGTCGGGGATAATTGGAGTACTGGGCAATTCTTGATTTACTACTGTAGATGGTCTAGATTAAAACATATTTTTTTATATTTTTTCTAATTTACACTGAGAAAAGAATTGTTTAGTAGTAAAACAATCTTTATATAAAATATTTTAATGAATACTAACCCAGTGAATGGTATTGTTTTTATCGATCGATCTGGTATTTCAGGTAGTTCTTTTGTTATTACTATTGGCTGTTGCTGTTCTTCTTCTTCTGCCTATAAAAAAACAAAGAAACCTACATGAATATTTCTATTTAAAATTGAATTCTTACAGGTTTAATTGATATTTCCTCATGTTCAGGTTTTTGATTATTTATTGGTTTTCGAGTTCGATCGATTTGTGGAACTACAGCTGGTGAAATAGCTGCTGCTTCAGGTTGAGCAGCAGTTGCTGCATCACTTGGTACTTCTTCCGATTGAATTATATCATCCGGATAAGATACCTCTGCAATAGGAAAACTTTCATTAACAATAAACAAAAAGTATTTCACTAACCAAATGATCGTAGTCCTCCAGTAGTTATTTTTGGAATTAACGGAGCTGTACTCTCGCCAGGATAAAATGTCATCCAATCTACATAACCACCATCGAGAATTAATGGTTCATGTTTAAGTTTAGTATC